GCGAAACACAAAATGACCGAAGTGAGTATGGTGAATAGGATAATACTTTGTAGCGGTGACCTGATCGTTGAATGATTACTTGCTGTGAACGTTCGATATCCGCGTCTGTGCTCACGGCGCGCTCAGGCGGCTGTGGTAAATAGGAGATATGGGACGTTGATGTGAAATTATCGAACAAGCGTATCATCCGGTGTGGTCGCCGCTTGAATGCACGTCATTCATTGGTCTGTTGATTCTGATAATACTGTTCACTCATTCCTTTGTTAATATTTTATCAAATTAGGCTTCTTGAATTAATATTTGCATGGAATAGCTAGGCTGTACTTTACAGACAACAATGGCAATGGTACCCAAGGCTCCAAACGGGTTCACCCTTACAGACGTTCAAGGAAATGTTCTACCATCTTTTCTGATTAACGGAAGCACGAGTTACTTTGTGACATGGGCTATGAAATGCAACATGAGTCACGCGCGAAATCAATAGCCCAACAAATCAAACATGAAATTACCGTACACTACCGTGAATAAGCACCCACCCTTAACATAGTGAGGGGTCCGACAAGTTTGCCACGCTCACAACAACGCGCCGTTATCGAGTGGATCAGAAAATTCAAATGAGTCAGACAGTACTTATTCACGATTGCAACTCTCATCGGCATTATTGAAACGATCAGCAAATCATTGCGTAAAATATAATCCACAACGGTGTTAAGGGGTACGGTAGTTTACAACAATAATTGTAGTAACTAGAATGATTTTTGACTTGTATACGAACTGTGGGTGGGGCGGGGGGTGCTTATTCACGGTAGTATACGGTATTTTTCTTTATTCGATTGTAACAAAATTAGTGCGGATTAGACCCGTTATTACCAATGTTATTATGGGTACGAATCTATTTTAAGAACGTTGCCTATAAAATATTATTTCTAAGGTATTTTTTGCAATGTCAGAGTTAATTTTGAAAACTTTTTCATGTTCTCCCAAATTGGTATTAATGGCTGATTTTAATAAACGTTTAATTCAATTAACCTAATCCTGAGAACGTATACCAAATATAATAAAATCACCAGTAACATCGAATAAAATTACATAACTACTAAATAAAGAATACCAACGATATGCACAGCAAACTGCATATTTAACGACATATCCAATAACGTATCCAAACGACACAACATATTATTACCGTTCATATATTTCGAGACGCTTACCGTCAATACCAATGTTTCTCAGTAATAAGTTATACGAAGATAATTTCTATACGACTAATCTACTTTAATGCTCGCAAAAATCTTACGAACAAAGACCAAGCATGCAAAATATCCAATAGCACCTGTAGGCATAACAATATGAACGAGTTAGCAGATGAATGCATGACATGATTGAAACAATACAGTAACTCAAACTAAAGGGCTCTTTCTAATATGTGGTGTTTCACCAAACGCTTTGTCTTGTACTCACCAGTCAGTATAAAGAACAGTAAACTCATTAAGGAAGTCCATCCAAAGTATACAACAGTGCTCGTAAACGATGTTATGTGTAACTTTGTTGTATAATACATAATCGAATACAAGAAAATATACAACCCGGATGCGCCAGACGTCAAGAATGCTCTCCACGACCAATGATAATCCTATTTAATAGTAATACAGTCAGCTCAACAATTCGATCTTGCAATATAATGATCCTCCCCAAAAGAAACAAATATTTTCAATTACCTCGGCGCATAGATGGAAGTAGCATAACAATATGGTGACTTCGGAACAAGTAATGGTCAAAATAACAAACACCAAAGACGCAATTCCGAAGAGATAATATATCTTGTTCCCCCAGATGCTGCTCATGATGAAATACAATTCAATGAAAATCGCACCAAATGGAAGTACACCTCCCATAAGCATGGAAGGTATAGGACGAAGATAGAAGACTTGATCGGGAATTTGTCGCGGAATTGGGTTTGTTCTAACTGGATGTTCAATAGCCTGAATTAAAAGAAAGTAGAGCGAGTTAGCAACTATAAAAACATAAAACGTCGTAAATTCGATACGGCTGGTAAAGTGAAGAAGAAAGGATAAACCTTTTAACTACAAGAGTAATTTTAAATCAACCGAAAAGGTGTATATATAATTATTATAGTAAACCAAATTTCTCGCGTACTTACTGGTTTTTTGAACCCAATATAGGATCCGATGCAACTCAACGGAACAGATATAAGGAACCACAGAACAATAGTTCCAATCATAGTGGTTGCAGGTACAGCACCAGACGAATTTGCTCCCACAAGGAAAAAGTTAATGGTAAATAGTATGGAGAATATCAACCTGAATATATAAACAAGAGCAAGAGCATTAGTACCGTAAATTTAACAGATTCACTTTTAGATTACAGACTATTGACCACTTGCAATCATCCTTTGTACTTACACTGGGAGTAGTGTTGCAGTCATTATAATATTCTTATTCCAAGATTTTCCGGCAAACATCTTGTATACGCGGGCTGAAACATATCCAGACACACTCGCAAAGAGCATATAGAAAATTATCATAACCGTCGCAAGCGAACCTCTATTTGAAGGAGAGAGAAAACCAAGTACGGCAAAAACTACAAAGGTGCGAACAAAGCGTTGACAACAAAAAGTTCTTTTATTAGCAAGACATCGTCATAACGAGACCACGGCATAATTCTTAATATCACTTCATTACTCACCGAGCGTAACTGCGGTCATGCAGAATAGCTGTATGCCGTTGCCCAGCAACACGGATAATAGCATGACATTGGAGGGAGGTCGAAAAACATCTCCGTGTACCAACTTCCATCCAAAATCTTCTTGTACATCCTCCTAAAAAATGAAAAATAAAAGATCAGTATACTCAAATCCCACTTTCTTCTTGCCCTCCCGACGCTTTTTTGTCTCTGTCAAACCAAAACATGCCTGAGAATCGAGTTGATTGTATCTAGTGATATCCTTGTGCAATGCACGGAGCAAGATCATGGCTACCATCCCAGTTAGGAATAGTACGATAACGATTGAATTGACTAAACTGAACCAGTGAATCTTTGGATCAAAGACATGAAGATAGCTATCCCATCGAGTCGCCCATTGAATTTGTGATTCCTAATGAGAGAAAGGAAAATCAAAACAAAAAAAAATCATTGAAAACAATAGGTAAAATTGTCTACAGCATACATCAATAACTAGTTTAACATGTCTACAATAATCTTACCGATTGCCACTCCACAGTGTAAGTAAAAATCACTTTATTAGCCTTGTTCTCGTCTAAAACGAGAGGATCCCATGTTTTGGCGCAAGCAGTCTTTTCAGTAACCGCCGCTGAATAATTACGACTATGTGTCACATTATAATAGCGTTAATATATTGCACAGAATTCTCCATTTCGACAAGATTTCAGTCTTGTACACAGGATACCAATCCTGTCCAGCTTTTTCCTTCACCTATATTATAGACCTCACTCATCCAATCTTACCTTGAGGGATCAACGAAAACGCCCACAACTCTATATTTATCCTCTTGTTTATGTACCTTGACGATAATCTTGTAATGATTATTGAAGTGCGGTATCCCGGATGAAGTCACTTGACCTAAACCGAATCCAACTCCAGAGTAAAATTTCTTGCCATCTATTAGATTTGTTGCCGCCGGAAGACCATCAATGAGCCAATTTATAACATAGTTTTCCCGAATACGAGCGTTAATAAATTTGGCATCTGCCGGGGGGATGGTTACTACGTCGTCACAGAGAATTTTACAATCGACAGGGATCTGCATGTTGAGCTGTCAGTTTGCGAAAAATTGGATGTGTTGGTTAGCGCACTTGCAATAAATTGTTAACTTGTTCAGGATATATATATATATTTAGGATAGTCACAACTGCAAAAACATGACCACAGCTAGAACTACAATCGTCCCATCATACCTCGAATCTAGATTTGAAAATCCTGTCGCCGAACAAAATACTTCCTAAACTCTCACTTTGCATACTGAGGTCGGCGGGTTTACAAAAGTGAAACTTGTCATTATAGTAATCATACGGGATCACTGATTTTAATTGTTGCGTCTGTGGTAAGATGCCGGGTGTAAGAGAGTTCACGAGAAGTTCTACTGTAGAATTTTTTTTGTAGTCTGTGGGAGCCACACCAGGAAGGTAGAACGAGGCGATGTTGGATGAGCAGGCCAAGAAGACGATGAGAAAAAGCAAAGTATGCAACAATGAGCGAGGCCGACAATTCGTCATCTTTTATGTTGTGGAAATCTATGCGAGAAGAAATATGATGGAATATGTTCAGTCTTGGTTTTTGCACAGTAAAAAAAAAGGCTTGTGACTTGTATAATTTATTTTGTCAAAAACGTGGAATCTTTTCATATGGTTTCTTTATTTAGTCACACAACGCTGGCGTGCTGGAAAACAAAAACAAACAGACGAATGAAATGTAACGCCACACAATAAAATTTCCAGGTCAATTCTTAATTCTTTTGTCGAAATAGGTTTTTTGTCAGAAGCGATACACGTTTAATACCAATAATAACTTTAAAATTATTAATTGTGCAACTGGAGCAAAGAACAACAACATGAGGGGTCGACGAGTTGCTTGCTGTGATATTAAATTTATCTAATTATAATATAATTGGGAAAATATAATCATTAGCAATAATAATAATGCTAAACCTTGCCCTTAACACACTGGCACGTGTTGCAGCTCGTTTTGTACTTACTTAGCTGTCATTATCCTTCTTTGATTAAAGATCTGTAGTGCGACATTGGAATGTTACTGTTGCCAAGAGCGTTAGGCAGGTTTTAGCTAAACAATAACATCAATTAAGGATGGGACAGTCTTGCAATCAAATCAATGGTATTTCCCATTCCAAAGATGAATAAGAACATCAGAACAAAGGTCAATATAGTAGTAGTAGTTCCATCGCGGCATACAATGCCTGTGGTGACATCATCTGTGTACGAGTATTAAAATTATTAATTTGCCGAAATGACGAAAGTAGGTAAGTTAAAATAATTTGCGACATCAAATATGGTACTAGTACGTATGTATCATTACTATGATGTCACTTGTAATGACAAATTTTAAAATTTGGCAAGTGTCAAGAAATACTTGGATAGCTATTAAATTTATAGTCTTAAATGGTTTAATCAACTGGTTTCTGTTATGCACATCAACGACAGTTGATAAGGGCAACTACACAAGGTTTTATTAAAAAGTGCGAAGAAATAAAAGGTTGTGTGGCGAGAAGGGTTCTAATGGCTTTCGGAAATAAGTTTTCTTTTTTGCAAAGAATAACGCTTGAAGTCTTGGAGTGAAAAGAAAAACAACGGCCCGTTCTAGGAATCCCAAAACGGGCCAGCCCATTTTAAGATGGGATAATTGCAAAAAGGTTTTTCGTCACAGTAACACGGATCATATAGACTATAACAAAATGCTTTGACTAATTAATACCACAATAAACAATAACAAAATGTCTTTTACGATTATCAACGATTAATACAAGACGCTTTGTTGCGGTGACAGTTTGGGCCACAAATCTTATTCGCCCTATTCTGCATAATATTTATCAGTTTGATTAATTTATGGCTTTCAGTATCTAAATTGCAAATTATATATACTCATCGACTTGATCGCGCTCATCATTTGTCGGATTCGCTCAGGCCATATTTCAAAGATTTCAGACATACCATCATGAGTTGCGGATCGTATGATTTACGATTCTGTATTTGCATACTCAATATGATCAATCATAGACTCAACGATCTGTCTTATGTTGTAGAACTTAACCTCGAACAGCTTATCGATTATTCTTCGATATTTCAGGCAGGCCGTGAATTTAATTTATCAACGGTCAATCATAACTTAACAATTGTCGAACAATTTATCAAAATGATTATTCTTCGATACTTTCAGGTAGGCTATGATTTACGATTCTGTACTTACGTACTCAATTATAATCAATTATAACGACTTAACGCCTGTCTTATGTCTTAATCTTACTATAGCCGAACAGTTTATTATTCTCAGTTCATGAATTGTTTGCTCATAGCAGATTATGCAGATCGTCATAATTTTATTGGATGTCACATGCGAAGCAATTGTATCTCACTACACATCTATATTGAAAGTGCTTTGATAATAGTAAGCAATATAATTGTGCATCTGCAATAGCTGTGGTTAGGTAAAAGCATACAAACACGCAAGCAATACATGTGTTACTGTGATGAAAAATTTTATAATTTTTAAAATGGGCCGTGACCGAATAATAATATGTGTAATGGAGGAACACGAAATTTGTCAATTATCACTGATTTTGATTGGCTGATACAAATTCGGAACGGAACAGGGCTAATTATAATAATAATGGTAACACCAATTCCGGAATTGAGTCGTTTAAGTAATAATAATAACGACATCATTGTTTAAGAATAAAGAAAGCTTAATATTAATATTAAAGACTCATGAGAGATTGAGATATCTCTACTAGAAATTAGTTGCGCGCACATGATCCGAAGTATGTAACGTGGGGATGGGGACAAACGGACGTTGCAAATTTTTGGTTTGCATCCGTTGCGATCATGTGATGTTTAATCGGTCAATCAGGGCTATTAATAACAACAACTCGGTGTACAAGAAGGATGTTATAAGTAGATTCATACGAAATATTTTTTTTTTGTTGAATAAAACTTGTTACTATAATAACAACTATTTATCCCGTAAACAGCTATTTGGTTTACGCCATTATTATTATAGGACTCGCGTGTCATAAGAAAATTTAGTAGTTATTTAATAGATGGTAGACTTGTGCAAGCTATTTCGTATAGTAAGGAAACTTAGGGACAAATTTTTAACCTGATTAAATACCCTAGATTTCTTCGGTTTCGAGGTTTTTTTTTTCTTTTCTTTTTTTGGTGTTATCAGGGCTTGTGATATATTGGCCTTCGATATAATATAAAATTCTATCCCCGTTCTTTTTCAAAACAAGTTTGCATCTTTTTACATTGATAAAACCAAATAGTTTACAGTTGTAATTAAAATTGCCCTCTCATTTTCAACCATAAACTTCTTTAGTCTATTAATATTCTTTGACATTCGTTTTTCAAAATTGTTTTTGAATTATCTGCCACATGTTTTCTATAAAACTAAGGTCTGGACTATTGGACGGCCAATCGATACCCCAAATCCTACTTTCGACAATAAAATCCTTGGCAACATGCAAAGTGTATTTTAGATTATTATTTTGCAGTTCCTGCCAGACATGTTTTGAGCAGCAGGCAAAAGATATATGTACACCCTGGAGTAGTGTAGCACGGTGCAACCTTCACACTCTCACCTTTTGACAAAAACCATTGGCATGTCATTGAGTACATGCGCACTATCGTTATTGTGAGACATAACACTTTTGTGCTGCTCTTAGCCGTCCGTAGACGTTGTCACCCGCTCACCACGTTGAGGTGGCAGCACTTCGAGCGGGAAAAA